CATCTGGCATCAGCGAGTCCAACCGCGAGGAGACGAGAGCTGGCTACATGGAAATGATGAAGGGCATCATTGATGTGCTCGGGCCGCCACGGAGCCAAACCGCCGAGACTAACACTGCGCCGAAGCCGCCGAGACATGTCGAGCCGGGACCACGAACAGGCGCCGTCCCGAAAGAACAGGAAGTGTTCCAGCGCGAGGCATTTCCACCACCGGTGCCACCGAAGCCACATAGACAAGGCGCACGAGTGGCGGAGTATTCGTCCAGCAGCCCAGCTTACGTCGCAGATGCTCAGTCGAGGAACTGGCGTAACCCGAATAACCGCCATTTCCGAGTAGAGGACCGGAGAGCGGATGATTTTCAACCGGAGGAGGCGTACGCCAACGTACGAGAAACGGCGTACATGAAGCTCAAGCGGTGGAACGTCAAGTTTGATGGCGAGGACGCGATGAATTCGGTCGAAGACTTCGTGTTCCGCCTGGGGTTCCTGCAGAGGCAGTATCAATGGTGGTATTGGATGCACGTGCGGCATTCTAGGGTCGACAGCTGGATGCAACTGCGACATGCCCTCTTGGACAGGTTTCGGGGCTACCAGACGTAGCACGATGTGATGCAGGAGCTATTACAACAAGAGCAACAGGCCAGCGAAGGGGTGGATGATTAATCCACCACATGCTTTAACTCGCCGCGCGATTCCAGAAGCCGCTGAGAGACCGCGAGCTGGTGAAGATTATAAAGCGTGGTTTGAAAGAAAGTCTGGCGAAATATATCTATGCCATGGACGTACTCACCGTGGATGAACTGCGCCAAGAGTGCCTAGAAGTGGAGAGGCACATGGGTCGTAGAAGCCGGACGTGGTACCTGCAGCCGTCGCGTTGTCCACAAGGGACGATCCCCGTAGTCTATGAGGTTGAAGTACCACCACAACATACAGAAACGCCGCCGGGAGAACTGGAGGAAGCATTCGTGCGAGGCAGGAACTCATCCCGACTTGTATGCTGGAGCTGCAGACAGCTCGATCACGTCTTTAGAGACTGCCTGTCCAAGGAGCAGAAAATATTCTGCTATAGATGTGGAAAGCCGGACACTTTCTGCGCCCAGTGCGAAAACTGTCCGGGAAACCCCAGAGGGAGCGTGGTGATGGCGGGGCAGACGCATTCCTGGACGGCGACCGCGGAGAATCAGGAGAGGGGTACCTACAAAAGCCAATAATCATGGAAAAGGAGACGGAGAGTTGGAATAAGGAGCAGGATAAGGCGTATTATAATAATAATATAAGCTCGGGCATACATGTCGGCCCGAAATAGAATTTTTGGTGAGCGACATCTGATAGGGATGACACTAGCCGGAGAGTGGTGAAGGCACGTGCGCGCTTCCGCAGACGCAGGATTATCCGGCGCCAGGTCGTCCAAGTATAGACCCACGCGTATTCGCCGAAGTGGAAGTCGCCTGGGCCAAGATGAAAGGGTTGCTGGACACGGGGGCCTCAGTCAGTCTGTTGGGACGAGGATGCCGGGAGTTAGTGGAGGAACTGGGATGGGAAGCGCGGCCATACGAATCGATGGTGAGGACAGCGGCGGGTGCCAATCGCCCAATTTTAGGTCGCGTGGTTCTGCCTGTGAAATACGAGAATAGAAAGGAAGATATCGTATTTTATATGTGCCCGGACCTGCAACAGGAACTATACCTGGGGATCGACTTCTGGCGGGCCTTCGAGATTGTACCAGAGCTGCTCGGTCCGGCCAGAAAGCCAGGAACACCACCAGAGGCATCTGAGGTAACGGTAGCGAACCCAGAGGTGGCATATTACCGGGACGACGACGATTGCGTGGCGGATTCGGAAATGTGGGACCTGGACAACGATCAGAAGAGTCAGTTGGAAAGCGTGAAGCGCAGATTTCTCCAATTTGAGATGGACGGCCTAGGGAAAACTCACCTGCTGCAGCACCGAATTCAGCTGATCGAGGGAGCAGAACCCGTGAAGGACAGACATTATCCGCTGTCTCCGGTCAAACAGAAGATCGTGTGGGCCGAGGTGGATAAAATGCTAAAGTTAGGCATCATCGAGGAGACGAGTGACAGCCCCTGGAGCAACCGGACGACGGTGGTGATGAGGCCTGGGAAGAATAGGTTTTGCTTAGACGCCAGGAAACTAAACAGTGTTACGGTAAAGGACGCTTACCCGCTTTCATGCATCGAGGGCATCCTATCGCGAATCGACGAGACTCATTTTATCTCTAGCGTCGACCTTAAGTTCGCGTTCTGGCAAATCGAGATGAAGGAGAAGAGCAGGGCGTATACGGCGTTTACCGTACCAGGGAGGCCGCTGTACCAGTTCCGCCACATGCCATTCGGGCTCTGCAACGCTGCTCAACAACTTTGCAGGCTCATGGACAAGGTATTCCCGGCGAACCTGAGGTCCAACGTGTTCGTATACCTAGACGATTTGCTGATAATATCGGCAGATTTTCCAACGCACCTAAAATACTTGGAACTGGTGGCCGAGTGTCTGAGGAACGCGAACCTCACCATAGGCATGGCGAAGTCAAAATTCTGCTTCCGCAACCTAAACTACCTGGGTTTCATCATAGGCGGCGGGACGCTGCGCATGGATCCGGGAAGAGTAGAAGCGATCCGGAACATCCCGAATCCGAGGACGGTCAAGGAACTACGAAGCTTCTTAGGTACAGCGGGGTGGTATCGACGATTCATAAAGAACTTCGCCGAGATCTCGATACCGTTGACTGATGCCTTTAAGAAGAGAACGGGTAGATTTGTGTTGAGTGACGAGGCCATGGATGCCATAGAAAGCTTAAAGTTAGCCCTCACCACAATCCCGGTGTTAGTTCACGCGGGTTTTTGAAGACCATTCTTCATCCAATGCGTCTCACTACAGAGTAGGAACCGTATTGTTCCAGCTAAACGACGAGCAACAGGAAAGGTCGATCGCATTCTTCTCGACCAAACTCAACCAAACTCGTTGTCCCGAAGCGTGGAAGAGGTCGAACTGACCCCAGAGGATCTGTTGGCATTTCAGACCACCGAATATCGAGAGCACCGAATATCGAGAGCTGATAAAAGAGGTGATGAGCCAACACGAGATGTTGCCGGATCTTAGAGTGCAGGACGGACTTCTGTTCAAGAGGACCGTGAACGAGAGCTTGGAGGATGAGGTCGAGGGCACAAGTTGGAAGCTCTTTGTGCCGGAGTCGCTGACTGCAGGACTCATCCAACAAGCACACGCGGACGACGCGTCAGCTCATGGAGGCATGAGGAAAACGCTGCACGCGCTGCGCAGGAGATATTATTGGCCCAACATGGCCATACAAGTCAGGGACTATGTACGGAAATGCGATACATGCAAGGAGACCAAGGCACAAAACTACCGGATCGGAATTGGGTAAGAAGTGCGCACCGACCGCCCCTTCCAGAAGCTATATATCGACTTCTTGGGGAAGTATCCGCGGTCGAAACGAGGGAATGCGTGGATATTCGTCGTCGTAGACCACTTCTAGAAATTTACCTTCCTGAAGGCCATGGGGGAAGCCACCGCGGCGGATGTCGTGAACTTCTTAGTGCATGAGGTGTTCTTCAAATTTGGCGTGCCGCAAGTGATCCATTTGGATAATGGACGACAATTCGTGTCGAAGTCGTTCGATGCGATGGTCCAGGCGTTTGGCATTACTCACCTGCGCACACCAGTGTATTCGCCTCAGTGCAACGCCGCCGAACGCGTGAACCGCACAGTGCTGTCTGCAATCAGAACCTACCTGGGTCAGGATCATCGCGATTGGGACGCGTACCTATCAGAGGTGGAAGTGGCGGTCCGGAATGCGGTCCACAGCGCTACGGGAGTGACTCCGTTCTTCGCGGTCTTTGGTTCCAGTTACAAACTGGCCAGGAAGCTGAGCTCATTGGCCGATCACAGTATTTCTGACCTTGACGCAAAGGACAGACTGGCTGTAACCCGAAGCCAAGTCAAGGACCACCTGCACACCGCATATGAGCGAAGTCGCCAACGATACGACCACCGCGCGCGCCAGCTCCATCTGGAACCAGGACAGGAAGTGTGGAGGCGCAACTTTGCACTAAGCAGCTTCGACAAAGCCTTCAATGCCAAGTTCGCCCGGAAATTCTTGAAGAGCCGAGTTGTCCAAGCCGTGGGCACCAATGCCTGCGAGTTAGAAGATCTGCAGGGACGCATGCCAGGCGTCTTCCACGCAAAAGATATACGAACATAATCGTAATTTGCTCACCTCCCTGCCAGGCAATGGCGGCGGCAGCGCCCGTCCTCTCTGTTTTGTTTTTTTTTTCGGATCGGAGCGAAATATAGATTACTTGTCGTGGGTGTGGCCTATGTTGGGCATCGTTATTAGCCGGCTGGGTCAATCCATGAAATGCGCACGCAGATTCCTTGTAATGGTCATTCATGTCAATACAATAATCTGCGTGGTGATGTTGCATATGACGTTATCGGTAGCGCTGAGGGTTTCCTAGTTGGTTGCGTGCGATATAATCGGCCACGCCGATATCTCTTCTTCATATGATCAGAGTATGCGAGGTGAAGCGGCGCCCGCGGCGGAGCCCAAATTTTTGAAGGGTGGCAACGCCAGACTTGCGATCCACGACGCCAAAATCGACGATTGCTATTGGCCGCCCAGTTCGCCCTTAAAGAGAATATGAATTGAGTGGATCGCATGCCCTTGGATATGCCCTTGACCGTCATTTGGGCCATTGACCCAAAAAAATGCAGCTGTGCAGATGTGCAGCAACGGTGCCCGCCTCGCCTATGTATGCGTGTGCCGAAATTCGGCATAGATGATGTTGATGCCCAAATGTAATGAGAGTTCGATTTTGTCAGCGGTCCACAGCGAACGTACCGTCTCACCGTTAAGAAAATCTGCAAATTGGATATTTTATTTTGCCGGCTAAGTGATTAAAAAAAAAAAAGGAGAAATATAAAATATCAAATTACACTTGTTTTTTACGGGTTTTCTTTATTAGTAAATCGCTTAACCCCTATGCGCTAAGGTATTGCAAAAGAAAGAATTTAAAACTTAAGTGCGACGAGACAAGCAAAAAAAATAAATATTAACGGTTCCGGCAACAAAGGGACCAGCTCCCACACCAGAGAAGCCCTCTAACATAGCAAAGGCCAGGAATCGGCTCAGCGGCACACACCAGCCATATCCGCGAAGCCGCCAGCCAAGTGTCGGCGTAATCCACGAGACGGAGGGACGAGCCATCACGGACCGGACGCCAACAGCGAAGACGCGGCACAGGCGAGATCACGCCCACATCCTCCGAGTGAGTCCGTTCCATTTTTGCCCATCCTCGTTCGACCCTTGGCAGAGATATGATGGAGGCTCCTGACCGTACGCCCTGAAAAAGAACAGATTTTTTTTGTCGTTAAATTTAGTTTTCTTGTATTTGTAAATCATGTCCATACTTACATAGGCACTTACGCCGAGATTCACTTTCGAGTGCGAATGGTGAAAGTAAAAGATAAAAATTTAATATTAACACTTGCGCGAACTATGCTCACATACTTACCTAATTGGAATTATCCATTTACATCGCCCCTTACCTCCCACAGAGAGCTTTTTAGGTAGGGTAAGGTAGAATTAAGCGATTTAATACAATTCATATCACCTACCTGTTGCACGACCGATTATCGTAACATACCCAGTTTTGCGTAGATGTGTGGGCACATTGCCTCTAAATTGCTTCCGTGCGTGTTTTTTTTTTGCGGCGACTTGCAATATCTTTGTAGAATTTCGTCGCCTGTTCCACTTAGTGCTGTTAAAATGAAAAAAAGAGAATTCTAGAAGATTAGAGAAAAATTTAGGCATTAATACACTTTGTCCCGTGTAAGAAACGTTCACGTGCATAAATGTTAATTCATCTGGACGGAGACCTCATGCAAATCAGAAAGGAATAATAAAAATATAAAGGCTAATAATTATAAGAATGCACAAACCATTATACGCACATGTGAAGCTAACCAAATATCCACTTGTATGAGATTTGAAATAGCTGCAAAGATAAATGCCATAACCAATGATTATAATTGTTATACACTTTAAGAAAACGCAACCAATTATATACCGTATCTGATGAGGGAAATGTCCGGTTAAATTTTCTTCGTTGGGGAGAGTTGGCATAACAGCCGGCGCAGGCTGATGGCCATCTAATAGACAAAATGAGGGAGACGAGTGTAGGTGATCGTCTCATGGTTGGGCGGGTACGCTGGGTCCGGAACCGGGGCCCGATCTGGAAGAGTAAGGTGAATTAATAGTGTTTTTTTTGTTAATTTATATTGAGTGTCTCACCTTAGTTGTTTACATTTTCATAGTTGTTACAGCTGTTTATTTTGTTCATGAGTTAGAAGTTCCGATTTTTTTGACGTTATCGATTTGTGGTTCGTTTTGCATAGTGTTGTGTAAGTCTGTTTTGCTACAGACGTGTAGCTTTGTTGTTATCGATTGTGCGGACTGCGGGCCAGGGATAGGACTACACCCAGAGAAACCGATGAGCCAGCCGGCGCGGCCCACCGAGAAACAAGTAGTTCCGTAACATCTTTATGCATTACATAGTCTTTCCTCATAAGGCTAAGAAATGGCAGTAACATGCCAAGAAACAGGGTGCGTGTGTGTTTGTCTGTCTGTGTGTAGAGTCGAAAATCAGAAATCCTAAAATCTTGTAAAATTTGCATCGGGGACAGATAGCCATGCAAGCAACAGGCACACAAGCCTCTATTTCATATTACTATTTCATATTATCCTTCAAAAGGCCAGAAATGCCAGCGACATTTGAAAAAAAATTGAATTTGTGCGCATTTTTGCTTGTCAGACACATACACACACACACAAATTTAAACGATACCTAAACATGAGAGAGTACTGAGAGTAAGTGCGAGCGAGATAAAAATAAACAGCGTTGCCGTTCTATCGCACAAATCATATGGAAGAGAGTGCGCCAAGCAGATTCCTGTAGTGTAAGCGAATAAAAAATACATCATATGCATATCTTACTCCCTTACTCGCGATTTTAGACCAGATGCCACCGATATTTTTTTGCCCACTTTCCCAGTATGTGATGTCCAGTCTATATGTTGTTTGATTAGTGGTAGTACCTAAGTAAAACATTGTGAAGACATTCACTGACCCACAGGAAACCAACAACGGAGCAGATGCTCCGCTGAATAAATCAAGTTGAATATAGATAATTAAACATGTATGGATCACTCAACAACAATTCAAATAATTTACACTAATATCTTAACGGCCCGATATCGCGCACGCAGTAAGTGCGATGAGTACTATTCTAATTATGCCAAACAGCACTTGGTTACAGCTACACGGTTATTAAGATACCTAAAAGGTACTCAAAACCTTTGTTTGGTGCTCAGTCAAAGCGGAGAAGTTTTAGTCGGATATGCAGATGCCGACTGAGCTCCTAATTCTGATGATTGTAAGACTTTTACCGGTTTCACGTTCAAAGTGGCCAATGCAGCTGTGTCCTGGAAATGTTAAAACCAATAAATCGTTGCATTAGCCAGCATAGAGGAAGAATATGAACCTATTGTGTGCCACCGTAATTTACATCGACAATCACAAAGCCGGGCAACTCACACAAAATCTTACTCACTTTATGAGAGCTTGTGAAAAAATGATATGTTATCGTAGACCACCTACCAACAACCGAGATGCCAGCAGGTATATTTACCAAAGGAGTAACGGCTTCAAAACATGACTCCTGCAAGAAAACTTTGGGCATGCGTCAGATAAACTAGTTATGTGACATTTGAGGGGAAGTGTTTGGAATACAGTCATCAGACACCCACTGTATACTTGCTCATCTGGCGTTTACCGATTTCGTCCTTCTTGCATCTATCGTATGTTGGTTTACCTCTGTCAATTGTAAGAAAAGTTTCTAACTATATCGAGGCTGCATGCTTGCTCTCAATATTCTATAAATAAATAATTCACACTGTCATCAATTTACATCGGCACGGAAAATGTTAAATGTTAATGTTACATTCTATTTGTTTGATAAAAAATGTAATAAATTATACACAGCTTGAGTGCTTAAAGTGGAGTGTGCATTTTTTGTTTTTTAATGTGTGACGCTTCCATCGATGGCGGTCCGACAGCACGCAGCCATCGATACTGCCGCTAATTCTATCGATTTTTCTCCAGAGTATAATCCTTCTTTTGTAGCAATACATTTTAATGCCGTGGATAGATAGACTGGCAGGTCCGAAGTCATTGGCAGAGATTAAAGGGGCCTTGCTGGCCTTGCGTAAGAAGACTACTCTTCGTTTCCACCCGACATTGGTCCTGTACACCATACTTTTCAATTCATGAATGGTTGCTGGAAGCAGTATGTTGCATCGGGACCCACACAAAAACTTGCACAGTTGTAACGCTATTACCACACAGGATGGACGGGAGCGCTATGCCAACAACAACGAAATCACCGATCGATGTCCAATTGTTTGTTAGATCCCCTGCAGAGGGTATTATAATTTTGTCATGAAATGTGCAACGCATTTAAGGAGACATCTCCGAACCCATTAAATATATATATTCTTGATCAGTTTCAACAGCCGACTCGATATAGCCATGCCAGTCTGTCTGTTTCTATGCGAACTAGTCTCTCAGTTTTAAAGCTATCTTTATAAAACTTTGCAGAAGTCCCTCTTTCTGTTGCACGCAGAACATATGTGAAAATGTGCTGGATTTGACCACTATATCATATAGCTGCCATAGAAACGATCGGTCGAAAATTAAGTTGTATGAAAAACCTTTTAGTTTATCAAGATATCTTGACCAATATCTGCATTTAATAGTTTTACGATTTGTTTATCAAGATATCTTGACCAAACTCGGAATTCATTAGGTTTACTATGCTCCTCATATATATGCAAATTCCTATTTATATCGGACCACCATATCATAAAGCTGCCATAGGAACAATCAGGCCACTATCGAAAATTCAGTGGCTGTATGAAAAACATTTTTGTTTATAAAGATATCTTGACCAAACTCGGCATTTATTATATGCGAAATATTATTAAGATCGGACCACTATCGAAAGTTAAGTTGTTGTATGGACATTTTTTTTGTTTTTCACGATATCTTGACCAAAATCGGTTTAACTATGCTTCTCATATATATGCAAAATCCTATCAACATCGGCCCTATGTATTATATATCTGCCATAGAAACGATCGGTCGAAAACTAAGTTTTAGATTAAAACCCTTTTTTGTTTATCAAGATATCTTGACCAAACTCGGCATTAACTATTTTCCCTGTGCTTCTTAGATACGGGCAAAGCACTATGAGCATTATGAAAAGGTTCAGTCTGCAGGGGTATACCTGGTTTATACCTGGTTTATACGTGTATAATGCAGGTGTTTTATTCGTTATGTACTACATAGTCTTTCCTCATAAGGCTAAGAAATGGCAGCAACAAGCAAAAAAACAGTTTGACCGTACATTCAAAGAGAAAAAACACTTATTACTAAAAAATTGATAGCTTTATTCGTCCCGCATATAGTACGAATTGTTTAGCTATGGCACGAGTCATCAGTTTCACTCGATTGTCGTGGCGTACGACTCTTTGTCCAGCCTACAACCTCTTCACTAATCCTTTTCGCCACTCCCTACGTGACACGGCTGCGTCGCATAAAAACATCATGTAGGCAAGTACTCCAGGACCACCCGTTTCCAAAAACAGTCCCGTAATAACCGCAATACGGTCCACTGCTTTTTTGTGGCGCTTCTTTGTCCGGCCGCTCGTTTAGACCGGGTGTGTTAGGTAGATTTGCTAATCCTTTGATAGTTTTGTGTTAGTAGGGCCTCATGGTTGACAGACACCGACATGTGGGTAAGCGGCTTCTATCAGAAAACTCTCCAATACGTGTTGCTTTGGTGCCATCTTCTTTAGTGTGTGGCGTCCCAGGCTCTCCCTTTAGCCACTCAATACCTCTGGAGGCTAGCCCGCCCTCAGTCTTCTTTTGGCTTCTCTGTTGGCCCCAACAAAGTTATTTCCGTTGACATTGGGAACCTTCAGTTCATGCCTGTGACCGCAGAGAATGCCTGATCACGATTATGCTGGAATCAGTTGACAGGTCATCTTCAAATATATGGTCCTTGTCGTCCGACACGTTAACAAGACAACGTTTCAACGAACATTTGTAACGAGTAGCGGTTCAAGGTAACTAAGACCCTTAAACTTAAATGGAAATCCTTTGGCCTCCAATGCATCCACATTTTGATACTTCATTTGCACATGGTACATTGTGCATCACGCACAATCAATTCGTCAGTGCTTGCCGATATGACAGGATTATTGGCTTCCTTGCACTTTGTGGTATACATAGTGTGGCATCAATACTACTATACGCACTTAAGACTCCATTGTCATCTAAGTAGAGCGCAAGCCCTCTTATATCGATTAAAGTTTTACATTGCGCCCGTCACATCAAGTACTCAGCATTCCCACATTCCTTTGTCCACGACACAAGCGCGTCCTACCCACTAGCGATTGTAGATGAAGAATCTCTGAAATTGAGGAGCCGGCAATCTCACCTGGTCATGGGCTCATCCCATTGTATATTTCGTCAACAAATCTCCCGCATTAGTAACTTTGTAATTATCATGAGACAGCTAAGAAATACCAAAGCATCAAAAACTCAAGAACTCCTTCTTCGTAGGAATTCGCTTCAAATTAAGCACACACCGCTTAACTTTATGGTATTTAATCTTTAATTTAAATTCGTCGGTGACAGGTTGCCAACACATGCCCTGAATATTTTTCCAGCTTGTCCCCATCCAGTGCTCTTGGCGGTCCCATGTTGACCCAAGGCATCGGATTCAGTCGGCAAACTGGATTAAATTGGCACAATTCAAATTCAGCTTTTTCTTGTATTTTCCTTACTATTGTTGATATGGCGATGACCTTATCTCCCATGTGAAAGCCATCCACTAGTGACATTCAATAATGACTTTACCCACGCGATTATATAGGCTCCAAGCGATCATCTCCGTATCCCCACAGGAACCGTTGTACACGTCTATCCTGCGGACGGATTTGCATAGAGAATGTCTCTGATGTCTTTAAAAATGCAAAGTACAAATTCCCGGTATGAAACTAAATAGCCGGCAGTACCTTACAGGTCTGCAGCCCCTTGGATAATGCCAAATTCAATACCAATTTGATCTCACCGGGCCTATTTGGATTTTCAACTCCAAAGTGCGA